GTGTGTGTGTGTGTGTGTGTGTGTGTGTGTGTGTGTGTGTGTCCCGTGAGCCCTGCCAGCATCTCCTCTTTTCCTTACTGGTCACGTGGCTTTATTTCTCTGAGCCTGTTCCCTCACCCATCAATGTGAGAGATTCCTGTATTTTTATTTTACTATTCTGTGCATATGTGTGCATGGGCACACGTGTGCCACTGTGTGTGTGAAGACTAGAGACAAGTGTGGGAATCACCATGTGGGTCCCAAGGATCCAGATCAGATGGTCAGCCTTGGCACCAACTGCCTCTACCAGCTGAACCATTCCTCCTGGATGGGGACGTACTGCCAACATTAAGTCCTTACCATGTTCTTTGGAAGACTTAGGGAATCTGCCAGGCCCAGGAGATAGGACAGAGTGACCAGGACCCCACGGGCAGACCCCCTCCCTGGCTTTGTCCTGGAAGAGGGGGTGGGGCCCATCTGCCATCTGGAATCTAATTAGGGACTGGGGAGGGGGGGTGCAGCGGCCCCTCCCCCACCTTTCTGCATTGCCCCTCCCCCATGGCCTCCCTTCTCAGCAGCTGCAGCTGGGACCATGTGAGCCCAAGTTCCCTTGGGAAGAATCACCATGGAAACCCCCCTCTCTGAGTTGGCCTGGGGGTGTTTGGGCTCCTCCCTTCAAATCTGCTCCAGGACCCCTGGGGAGGCCAGGCTGAGGGTGCCCATCTGGCCCCCAATGTATCATGGGAAAAGAAGTATAGGAATCTTTTCCTCTCCCCAGAGTGGGGGAGGGAAATGGTGCCACTGGATGAGTCTTTCTGTGGTCAGCTTGATCCAGAGGCCCCAGGGGCATGAGTGTGGCCCCAGTGACTGGCAGTAGACCTGCAGGGGTGTGCCAGGCAGTGAATAAGTGACTTGTGGGACACAGCATCTGTGCAGGTGACTGTTGCGAGATGGGTCTGGATAATTAAGGTTTGAGGTGTGGGGCTGGCAGTGTGGCTCAGTGGTAGAGTGCTTGCTTGCCCAGCCTGTAGAGTTCCAGCTGCAGCACAGACATGAACAAACGATTGGGAGCGCAGCCTGGAGAGATAGCTCAGTTGTTTTTACTGCTTTGAAGACCTAAGTTTGATCCCCAGAACCCTAATAAACAAGCCAGGCATAGTGGCACATAACTTTAATCCCAGGACTCAGGAGGTAGAAGCAGGCAGATCTTTGTGAGTTGGGGCCAGCCTGGACTATATAGCAAGTTCCAGCTCAACCAGAGCTATACAGTAAGACCCTGTCAAAAAAGAAAAGAAAAGAAAAATAAAGGCAGGTTTGGTGGCCTTTGCCTGTAACCCCAGTGCTGGAGCGAGGCAGTGAGGCCCCTGGCACTCTATCTCAAAAGTGGACAGCTCCTAATGACTCTTTTTTTTAAAGATATATGTATTTATTATGTATACAGTGTTCTGCCTGCCCACCAGAAGTGAACACCAGATCTCGTGACAGATGGTCGTGAGCCACCATGTGGTTGCTGGGAATTGAACTCAGGACCTCTGGAAGAGCAGTCAGTGCTCCTAACCTCTGAGCCATCTTCTCTCCAGCTCCCTCCTAATGACTCTTAAGGTTGACCCCTGGCCCACACAGGCACACATACTCATGCATAAGATTGAGGGCTCAGTTTCTGCAAGTGTCACCCACCCTGCATGCATGAAGACCCTGGTTGGTTGGTTCTCCAGCACCACACACACTGCGCCTGGTGGAGGAAGCCTGGGATCCCGGCATTCCAGACTTGGCAGCAAGAAGATCAGGAGTTCAGGAGAATTGCTGGTTTCATGGCAAGCCTGAGCTACACGAGACCATCTCAAAAGACAAACAGCAACAGACAAAATGACTCTTGAGTGTGTAGAACCTGGTGTCAGTGTGATATGTGCTTTGTGACACTTTGTGACACTGCGATTTCTGTTGTGGCTTCTAGGGTGCACTCGGGGTAAGTCTGTTGCAACAAGATGTTTGTGTGGCTTGGTGTGTGTGTGTGTGTGTGTGTGTGTGTGTGTGTGTCCGGCCTGTGCCGGGTTTGTGGGCTGTGCTGTGGGGTTGGTGCATGGTTAGCACCTGACGCTTTTCTTACTGTTGTTCTGGAGGGCCCAATATTATGAGCATGGACTGTTTGGAGAGTGTCCTTTCCAGGTGCCTCAGTTGGTCTAAGCCTCTTCCAGGCAGCTCGCCTGGTTTCTGCTTCTCCCAGGCAGCTGGTCTGTTCTGAAAATCTCAGAGGATCTCTCAGCTTTTATTGCTTACTCTAGCAGGAAGGGGCCTGCTGAATCTGGTCAGTTTCAGGAACTTCCTGATGCTAGTTTGAGTTATTTGCCTTCCTGCTTAAAGAGCTTCCGGTAGGATGGTAGGATGGACTATTTCAATCTCCGAAGAAACTGTTACAAAGTACTCCACCTCTTCCTCCCGCTCTTCCAGTCTTTCTGTTTCCTCTTCCCCAGTGATCTCTGAGCCTTGGTGGTGGTGACTGTAGGTGTCCACCTGTGGCTAAGAAACAGGCCACCACGCATGCCACTGTAACCGTCCCTTGTCGTTATGAGTTGAGGGTGACAGAAGTGATTATGGGTGTAAGCACACATGTTTAGAAGGCGTGTGACAGGCACATGACATCCACCTAGAAAAACCATACAAGTCAGTCATTCCCCACAGGGACCTAGGACCTCCGCAGCAGCCACCGGGTTTTGTCCGGTTTACAGCACCAGATGTGAACTCTGTCTTGTGGAGTGGACCTTAAATCCAGTTGAATTGGTCTTACCCATAGTGGCTGAGCAACTATTGCACAATCAGGCACATCCTGCCTGGCATGTCAGTATTTCAGCCCACAGGGTCCACATCCACGCAGGAATGTTGGGGACAGCAGCCTGCATGACCCCTCTGACCCTACAAAAGCCAGAGAGCAGGATGGGAGTCTCCAGTTCAGTCCCAGTTAGCGTCTCCATGTCCTACAGTCAGAGCGTGCGGTGTCTTCAGCAACAGGGCGTCACCCTTTAGTCCTGGCCTACAACTGACGTGGAGCAAAGGCGTCACCGTTTGTGGGACTTCACTGGCCAACAACTACAGGGGGGTAGAGCCCACCCCTGGCACTGAGGCTTCATCAGTAACCTATGGCCTCTGGGAGTGTCCTTCAGGATTCTTTTTTTCTTTCAATTAACCCAGCCCCATAGGGTTGTGAGGTAAGTGGCTATTGCACCTGTCTGTCTGTCTGTCTGATGCCTTTCCAAATCTGCAAAGCCCTCAGAGGTTGGCACCATGCCACCTGTATAACAAAGCCTTTCCCAGAAACCACGCAGGACAAGGCAACATCCCGAACCCCCATCCCATAACAGTGGGGTGACAAAGACAACCTTGGTGAAACACTCTGAGTGTGTTCTCACCAAGTGTCAGGTGATCTCAGAAGTTCACACCTAGGAAGATAGTGAAGTCAACACAATCAAGGTCTCATGCAGCACCAGAAGGTTCCATCCATTTGTCAGCTGCTTCCTCCACAGATCAAGGTTGGGCACACAGCGTGGATAGGAGATGCTAACTTCATTAGCTCTCTGTCACCCCCAGTCATTCTCTCTGAGCCATTAGTTTCCATATCCCAGAGCTCTTCACGGAGCCCCCCTACATCTCTCCACCCTGACCAAGTCAGCGGGCCTGCCTCAGTCTGCTCAGACCTACTCAGGGCCAAAGGTGAATGTGGCCCAGCTTTCCCGATGCACCCACAGGCCCTGGGTCAGACAGGCCCTGGGTTGTCAGGGCGGCTGTTGCCTCCCCACTCACCATACCTGGCTGTTCACTGGGGGGATAATTACCCACCCCAGGACAGGCTTGGCAGTCTTCACCTGTGTTGTTCCATCATGGTTGTCTTGTGTGAACTGCTCCTCAGGCTTTACAGACTTCCGGAAGCTCCTCAGCACACAATTTGGCTTTCTGTCAGTCTTTTGCTCAGGAGCTTCAGCTTGCCACAGTCTTGCCACGTGTCTCTGAGTAACCCAGACAGACCTCTTCCTCGGCTCTACGTTTTGACTGTTTCCTCATGGTTGTTTTTACTTTATGAACTTCCTTTACATGCTGGTCTAAGTCACTGAGATCTGCCAAAGCCTTTCCCACCGTAACCACCGCGCACCCCCCCAAAAGGCCAAGAAACCCCAAGAAACCCCCAAAACGGACCCCACCAACAACGCACACAAGAATCGTCACTCAGAAAACGGCGACCAGACACGCGCAGAGCGGCAGGACGCAGGCCGCCCCCGCCACCCCAAACCGACCAATCCCAGCCACAAACGCAGCCAACAACCACACAAAGACAAACCCCACCACCAACTACCTACCCCACAACACGACACACGATCAAACCAAGAGTCGCCCAGGCACAATAAGGGACAACAAAGCCTCAAAGAAGGCCCCAGACAAAAACAAAAGCAAAAACCTCCCAGACCGACTAAAGAACGAACCTGAACCCAATCAGGCGGACAAAACCATCAACACCCCCAACGCACCCAAACTGAACAAAAAGACCAGCAAGATCCGAGGCTAACACGGAGGATGCTGCCATCTCTTCCCTTCCTTGTTGCGATGGCTTTTCCACACAGACGAGCGCCTGCTAGGCCCCCATCTCAGGCTCAGATGTATTTTGAACTACACACAACAGTGGCTAACTCCGCTGGGCTGCCGGACACTCTTAGCTCTTCTGCACTCATCTTAAAGACCGCAGACTTTCCTCTAACTTTTAACTGTTTTCAGGGGATCTCCACACATTCCTGTAGTGCCCTCCGCCTTATCAAGCAGGCATCCCTCCAG